ACCAAAATCTAAGGATGCTCAAGTCCTCTTATGTAAAGGCTTCGTACTCACAGAACCTGCAGACATGCTCCTGTATACTTCAAATCATCTCCAGATTACTTATAATACCTCATACATGCACATGCTACATAATCAGGTGTATTGTTTAGGAAAATGACAACAATCGTCTGTACATACTCACACGTTCAGTACAGACGCAACCCTCCTTCTTTTTTCCATCTGTGGTTGGTTGAGTCTGGGGCTGACTGTGCTTGTTTTCATTGCCTTTTCTCTATTTTCTCCTCCTTGAAGAATCACATATTTTCAGCCACTTTGTTCCTTCCCCTCTACCACGGACTTTTAGATTATTATTTCGTCAATATTTATTTACTCTCTAATGAATTTTGAAACATCTTTATTATATTTTATTTTACTAGTTCTAATCCTCATTGCACTGATAAGACAAGTATATTTGTTTGGACCTGTTTCCTAGCTTATATAAGACTTAATTTAGTTTGTGTATCTCAGACAAGAAGCCTGTTCTTTACAAAGTGATTTGAAAGCAGCGCCTGAGAAGTTTTTAATAATTAGCAATTTCTTGTCATTATTTCCCCCACAAATATAAATACCTATGTATTTAGAATTGGGGAGGGGGTGTTTGTTTATTGTTGGTTGAATTGTCCCTCAAGTTGATGGTTCTGGTTTAAGTGTAGGTTCATGGTTTTAGGATATATGTGTTTAATGTTCAGCAACACTTGACTTTTTTTTTTTTTTCAAATTTTCAGCTAGTTTTTAGATTTGAGAGTGTTCACCTTTATCAATTCCTTTGCTAATTTAAGACAGGGGGAAAAAATAACCAGTCTTAAATAACCTCAGTGTTTGCTCATGCTGGACCACACACTTCCCCGTGAGAGTTCCCAGGAGGGCGCCATAACCCCCATCATTATTTTTTATAACTTTCTTATACCTTGCCACTCAGGATTTAGCAGTAATATTTCAGTCATTCACTAATAACTTTCCTTTAGGTTATCAGAAGAAAGATGATAGGGCAGAGGAGTTTTCCTGGGGGTTACAAAGTGACCTACCGAAATATACTACATTGGTTCTTCTCTGTCAGGACATTCAGATTTCAGAAGAATAAAGGGGGGGGTGTGCTATGAAACCCTGTGCCACCCTTTAGAACATGTAAATAACATCAGGCACAAAAAAAGGAAAAATTTCAAGCTGTCGGAGTAAAGAAAGTACGACAATTTGGGATAATTAAATGCTTAAGGTAGTCAAATCAGTACTCATCCCAGTAAGTTTTTCTCAGTTGAAGAAAACTTCTTTAAAAAGTAGTTATTGGTCTACATGTCTTTCAGTAGAACTGTTAAAAAAAATCGCACTATAAAAATCCAGTTTGAAATATTTTTCAGTCTTTCACAAAGAAGAAAGCATACCTGTATGTATGCAGGAAGATGCATATGGTAGCTAGCTTAGAAAAATAAAACTTGTGTGTGATTCATAGACTATGATCCCATTCATATAAAAACAGCAGAAACAGACATACAAAGAGAGAGGGCAGTGGAAATGTGATTGTGCTTTTGTGTCTGTTTCTTCTCCCAGATTATATGCTGATTTCTTGCCAGATCAAATATAGGACAGGGGAGTAAATTTTCATTTCAACTATAAACAACAATTTTTAAGTGTGTTTCCCAAATAGTGCACAGGACATATTTATACTAAAAACCTTATTCACTGTTTCCTTGAAATTCAAATTTGATTCAGTGCCTTGTATTTTTATTTCCTAAATCTGGCAAGTGCTTTAGGGAGACTTAAATTATTCATCTTCGTAACTGTATCGATAACATAGAGACAGAGATGTAACAAGTCACAAGAAATAGCAGGAGGGAGAGTAATTAATAAGAGGATGATAATAGCAGGCGATTTGCCAATTATGGAACATATATTATCTCAACTCTCATGGAAATGCTTCGACATTTTATGAATGGTCCTATTTTACAGACTAAGAAACAGAAGTCACACAGACAGCAAATATTAAGTTTCCAGGTCCCCTTGCAACAGCCATCACCAATTTCCAGCTGCAGAAAAATGGAGAGGGATAAGAAGTAGCAAGAGAAAGAAAGAGGGGGAGGCAGCACCTGCTGAAGTGGCACCGAGCAGAGCTCTGCACACCCCCCAGTCTCACCTCCACGCTGCGCGTGAGGCGCTACACGGAAGGCAGGCACATCTGGACCCCCTTCCCACTTCCATCACTCAGTTGAACAAGTTACATAATTTATTTTTTACACCAATTTCCTCATCTGTGAAACTGGAGTGTCAAGACCTGACCTGGGTACTGAGGTGGAGAATACACGAGATAATTTCCGTAAAGTGTGATCAGTACGGGGGTGGGAAGGAGAAAAGACTGAGTCAACGCGAGTTATCAGCTACACGCCCCAGTTTATTCGTTTGTAAAACAGAACAACAATGACGAGAAAGTAATACTAATGATATCCATTTTGCCTCCAAGTTGTTTGGGGGATAGAATGAGAATTCATATCAATTATCTTTCTAGACTTCTAAGGTACATCTCACCCTCACAAGGGTGCAGTTGTTCTCTTGGGTCAGAACAGAGTTAGCATTACACTAGAACATGACTACACTTGGTTCCAATAAATGATAACCACACAGTAAAATGGACTCTTTTTGGTGTATAAAGTTCTATAAGTTTTAACACATGTATAGATTTATATAACCATTGCCACATCGGGAAACAGAACATTACTACAGCTTCAGAGATTCTTTTTTTTGAAGTGTTTCACATTTATGTTTCAAAGTACTTTTAAAAATAAGAAAAGAGATTCTGGTAAACGAGCAGAAGGCGCAGAGCAATGATACTGCCCAGGTCTCTGCGGCCTCCAGGCCCCTCCAGCTTCTGCCTGGGCCCTGTTTTGCAGCGGGCTCTGCGGACTTTTCCGCAAGGGGCCAGGCCTCTGCGGGCGGGCTGGGGGCTCTCTTCACACTGCTGTCCCGTCCCGGGGACAGGCTGAAGCATCGCTCACTTACAATCCTGTTTATATGACGAATCTCAATTTTCCTAACCCTGTTTTCCCTAATTGCTATTTTACCTCCAAAATGAAGCACCCTGGAATAATATGCCCTTCTTTCCCTTTCAGGGAAATTATTTGATTGGGACAAAGGGGATATAGAGATACAGAGAGAGCCATGATAAGGCCTTTAAGACCCTGGACCTGTCCCGTGTAACAACAGATCCTTCTGGGAATCAATCACTCCATCTGTGTCTGTCCCCAGCGCCACCTCCTCACCCGGGCCCCGGACGGCCCTGGGATGCTGGCCTCGGGGTCACACCTCTCCCCGGTGGTCCCTCCGCCCCGCTGCTCGGCGACTCGCTGGGCAGCGGCTGCACATCTGGCGGGGGCGGGGCTGTGTCCCGGTGACTCACGGCGTCGCTATCCGCCTTTTGTTTCTGGGACGCTTTGGCTGCGGTCTGCTTCCCTCTGCTTTTAATTTGGGGAGGAGAAAAGCCAATGAATCAAGAATGCCTCCTCTCTCCGCTCGTCTTTATTTTTTTCTTAAAGTTGGTTCTGCCTTTACAAGTTCCGTAACTACCCAGGAAGCGCGGGGGCGGGACGGGCGGGAACGCATTAGCTGCGTCCAAATCTGAAGTTTGCAGCCTCAGGTCCCAGTCTGCCCGGGGGACTCCGGAGCTCCCCGACGCGGCGCTGGGGTTCGCGGGGCCGCCGTGAGCCCCGGCGCAATTCCTGCTGTGCAGCTTTGCGCTGTTCTCGCCCCAAACCCGTCTCGTCACTGCAAAGGTGCCCGAATCAGGCTGAATTCCACGAGATTCGCCGGCGGATTTGTTCCGGTCCGAGGTAAAAGCAGTCTGCAAAACGAGGACCCACCAAAGGGCGGCCGGGCAGGGGGGAGCCGCAGGGACTCCCTCGCCTTTTCCCGCAAGTTCCCCCCGAATTTCCACCGAGAGGCTGCGCGCGGCCCGGGCCCCCTTCCCGGCCCCCGACCCAGGCCCCTCCCCGGGCTGGCGCGCGCGGCTGGGCGGCCGCAGTCTCCGCGGCAGCGCGGCCTCCCCCGGCCCTGGCTTGGTTCTTCCCGGCGGCGGAGGCTGGGCCCAGGCTGGGGAGCCGAGAGGCGCCCGCCGCGCGCAGCCGGGAAGTTGTCGCCACGCGGGTGGGACCCGGAGGCGGCTCGGAGGCGCGGGGCGCAGAGGTGAGCTGCGGGGACGGCGGCCCGGGGAAAAAGCCCCGCGGGCTCGGGCTGCGGACTGGCCCGGTCCGGCGCTTCTTTGTTCGCTCGGCCCGCCCGGGTGGAGATGACCCAAAACCTTCTGGGATCCCAGGGGCTGGAGGGACCTGGGCTGGGGGGCGACAACTGCAGGGCCCTCCTTTCTGCTGAGGCGAGAAGAAACCCAGGGAGACCGAACGACTCCCGTAACCTGAAACTTCCCTCTCGCCCCCGGGACTCGAGGAGAAGTCTGGGGGTGCGGAGACCCTGGGCGGCAGGTCCCCTTCGGGGGTGTTGGCGGAAGGAGCCGGGAGAAGTTTGGCCGGCTGCACGGGGAGTCGAGCTAGAAGTTAGGCGCGTGGGCGAGTGTGATCGCGAGGGAGAGGGCGGCGGCTGGACGGGTAGGTGACCAGGGACCAGGGACACTGCGCTCTGGGCTCGGCACGCGCGTCCCTCTCCTGAGCAAGGATGCGCTGAGGACTGGGGATCCCGGGCGCTCTCGGAGGCGAGGGGAGACCGGTTCCTGCACTCGGGGAACCGCCGCAGCCACTGCTCCTCACGCTTCTCTCCCGCTTGTCCCAGGTCGCCCAGCGGATCCAGCGAAGGGCGCCGACGCCAGGGACCAGGAGGAAGGAAGAGGCGCGAGCGTCCCGGGCCGCCGTGCGTACTTTCTGGCGGGCAGGGCGGGAGGGGGTGGCCCGGTTGCCGGGGACCGGCCGAGTCGCAGAGGCGTTGTCCCTCCTCCGGCCCAGCCCAGCCCCGGGGACACGCGCGCCGCGATGCCTGGGGGGTGCGCCCGGGGCCCGGCGCGGCTGCGGCTGGCGCGGCTGGCGCTGGTCCTGCTGGGCTGGGTGTCCTCGTCCGCCCCTGCCCCCTCGGCGCCCTGGTCCCCGACCGCCGCGCCCCTCCCGGCCCACCCCGCGTCCGCGCGGCCCCCGCCGCCCGGGCCGTGCCCCGCGCCGTGCGAGTGCTCCGAGGCGGCACGCACCGTCAAGTGCGTGAATCGAAACTTGAGCGAGGTGCCGGCAGACCTGCCCGCCTACGTGCGCACCCTTTTCCTCACCGGCAACCGGCTGGCCGTGCTCCCCCCCGGCGCCTTCGCCCGCCGGCCGCCGCTGGCCGAGCTGACCGCGCTCAACCTCAGCGGCAGCGGCCTGAGGGAGGTGCGCGCTGGAGCCTTCGCGTACCTGCCGGGCCTGCGCCAGCTCGACCTCAGCCGCAACCCGCTAGCTGTCCTCAGCCCCCTCGCGTTTTCGGGCCCCAACGCCAGCGCCGCGGCCCCCAGCACCCTGGCGGAGCTGATCCTGAACCACCGCGTCGCGCCGCAGGTGGACGAGGGCGACAACCGGACCTTCCAGAACCAGAGCTTCGAGGGCACGGTGGCCTCCACCCTGCGCGCCGGCCGGGCGCTGCGCGGGCTCCGCCGCCTGGAGCTGGCCAGCAACAACCTGCTCTACCTGCCCCGGGGTGCGCTGGCCCACCTGCCCGGCCTCCGCTACCTGGACTTGAGCAACAACTCGCTGGTGGGCCTGAGCTACGTGTCCTTCCGCAACCTGACGCACCTGGAGAGCCTCCACCTGGAGGACAACGCCCTCAAGGTCCTGCGCAACGGCACCCTGGAAGAGCTGCAGGGCCTGCCCCGCGTCAGGGTCTTCCTGGACAACAACCCCTGGGTCTGCGACTGCAACATAGTGGACATGGTGGCCTGGCTCAAGGAGACGGAGATCGTGCAGGGCAAAGCCAGCCTCACCTGCGCGTTCCCGGAGAGCATGAGGAATCGGGCGCTCTTGCAGCTCAGCCCCGCTGACCTGGACTGCGACCCGATCCTTCCCCAGTCCCTGCAGACTTCTTACGTCTTCCTGGGCATTGTCCTGGCCCTGATAGGCGCTATTTTCCTCCTGGTCTTGTATCTGAACCGCAAGGGGATAAAAAAGTGGATGCATAACATCCGGGACGCGTGCCGGGACCACATGGAGGGTTATCACTACAGGTACGAGATCAACGCGGACCCCAGGCTGACCAACCTCAGCTCCAACTCGGACGTCTGAGGGACACTGGGGACAGAACGAGGACAGCTCTGCATGAGGCGTAGACTACGCTTTGTCCCTTCCCGGTCTTGCTCCACTTCCCTTTTGCTCGGGACACCTGACTTAGCTGAGCGCGGTGGAGGGATTAGCTTCCTTGTGTTGAGTTTCTGGGCGTGTTCTGTTGATGTAAGACGAGGAACAGCTGTTGAGGGCCGCAGTGTCCACTGGCCACTGTGTTCAGCGGGCGTGGTGTCTGACCCTCACCTTTCCTGGGACTCCCCGACGCACGTGGAGGGATTTTCCGAGTCTGAGCACGGACGTGGACTCCTTGCTGTCTCTCCTAGTACCGTCCGAGGTGTAGCAGTGTACCCACACAGATAGCATTCAACAAAAGCTGCCTCAACTTTTTTGAGAAAAAATACTTTATTCATAAATACCAGTTTTATTCTCATGTACCTAAATTGTGGAGAAAACAATTGCATCCCATAAACTGCCTGCAGATCTTAGCAAGCTCTTCAGAGTAACTCCGTAGTCCACGGGAGTGCACCTGCATCCGGGGCATGCTTACCTTTGGTTGTTCTGCGTATTACAAAAGTAACTTGCAACGTCAGATGACTTCTCTGACAAAATAAATTGCCTTTTTGATTGCAGTTTATATGAAACTGTATGGAAGTTTTTTTTATAAACTGCATCGAGAGCCAACACACTAAATTGTTAAAAAAAAAATCAATAAAGATTCTTAAAAGAATTATACTGTGTTGGAGTTTGCTATTTCAAAAAAAGGGTTAAGGGCAATGACATTGAATGTTTTGTGTTCAGATGGCAATTTAGTCAAGATAGCTGAGAATCAAACGGTAGCCACGTCTTATAGCATAATAGACTTTGAAAATAGTTTTGAAATAGTAGATCCTGTCGGGATTTAAATAAAGAGTTTGAATATAGCATGACTCGACTTCTCATGGTCCCAGAATTAATACTATTTATGGAACAATTTTGTGATAGCTTAAAGAGATTGGTAAAAGTGAAGAGTTCTGTATGATAAACAATTCACAATTTAGGGTGAATGAAGTTCTTATTAGCACAGAAAAGTATTAGTAATAAAACTCCCCATGTAAAAGTTTTCTACAGATTTCTAGAACAGAATGTGAAAAAAATGCAAATGTATGAAAAAAAATGTGTTAACAGACATGTAATATTCTTATATAAAAGATTTAAACATACATTAAAAAATATCTCCTAAAATTATAAGGTAAATTAGAACCTGAGACTATGTTTTGAAAAGCATGTAAGGTGGAACATAAATGGTTAATAGTTTGACAGAGGCCCAGCCAATGTGTTCAGAAAGTTGACATGATTTGCTATGAACTTGGGGAAATAGCCAGATAATTATCTAGATACTGTCTTAACTAATCGCAGGTTCTTAAATTCAGTTCAGTATTTAGTAATTTGAGGATGTTTTGGTTTTAGCTAAGCTCTATATACCTTTGTGAAGAATAAATCTCTTGAAGGTATAAATAAAGGCAATTGTGATAATTGGTTGATATCATCAAGAATAGAAAACGTCCCCTGCCCCAAGTTTATTATCTGCTATTTAAACTGAAAAGTAAATTCTCTTACTTAGTCTCCAGGCTATTTATATCAAGTGACTTAAACGTAACCACTGCTGTTCAAGTTCAGTGAGTGAACTTGGATCTGCATGTCTCAGGCCTGCTTTCCCTTTAAACTAGTTATGTTCTGCAGGGCTTTATATTTGAAATAAAATATGCATTTCCATATTTTCATAAATAAGATAGGATTAGATAGTACTTTAGGTTTTAGAAATCCTTGCTGATTCCTTCTTTGAATTAAATTCAGAAGTTTTCAAAATAAGGCTAAATATGTAAATCTGTTCCTTTTATAGATTAGCTTATACTGTCAGAATATGAAGCTTTAATTCCTGAAACATCATAAGGCTAATTTTATGAAATATATTCATCATTGATGGGTTATATTTCAGATGCTATAATTACCTGGGAAAAGGCTCAATATTTGGCACTTAATATTCCATTAAACATTTTTAAGTATTCACCAGGAATTCATAAACCGGGTGGCTGTAATTATTTCCTAAAATTGTTGAGAGATTAGCCTGCCAAAAATAGTGAAAACATTTACTAAATAATAACACATTATCTTAGCAAACTGCTGATCTTAGTGAGTCTGCTGATACTGTAGAAAACAAATTCAGAAGAATGGTTTCTTCATCACGTGATAATCTAATAGTTAAAAATTAAGGTCTGCCCAAGGTCCAGGAAAACGGTAGATTCATTAGTCCGGCTTTCCTCATGAGCTCCTGAAGCGCTGGTGAGTCTGCTACAGTGACACAGAGTCTGCCTGCTCGGGACGGCTTCTGCACAGTTAAAACTCTCTGCTACAGTGACACAGAGTCTGCCTGCTCGGGGCGGCTTCTGCACAGTTAAAACTCTCTGCTGCCTTTTCAGCCCTCTCTTCCTTCCTGTGGACTTCCCAATTCACCACTGCTTTCTTTTCCATGCTATCACTCCTTGCCATTCTCCAAAATATGGCAATAGAAGATTCTTCAGGTAAGAAATAGGAATTGTGTGACAACTAATTGATTCTGTGCAGTCCTGATACTCTAAGGCTATCAGCCCACGAGGCAGTGTTAAGTCTTGGGAGACAGATGCTGTATAAACGGAGTAAGTATCAGGGAACGTGGGAAGATGAAATACAAATAGAACTTTATTTAACAATAAAACAAGTCTACTTGTTTTAAACACTGTTCTTTAGGATCATTATGCATTATTGCTCCTAGAAACTGACAGGTATCCGTTTTTTAAAAGTTCTTTTGGTTGATAATATGAATTATTGAGCTTAATAGCGTTCAGCAGAAAATATCCTTCATTTATCTTTTATAAATTTCATCTGAAGAAAACTAGAATGAAATGCTTAAAAACTAAAGCACTTGATAAATCCCTTCATTTAAGAAGCTATTAAAATGCCCAATGAATATCTGTTTAAGTGGCACAGATTTTAGGGTGACTTTTGAGCTGATTGTCCCCTTCACTGTGACCATTCAGTTGGCAGTATTAGCTGTTGTAATACTGGGTTTGCTGACACAAGTCTTATTCAGTGGTGGCCTATGTGGTAGTTTTGTACAGGAGCGGATAGATTTTTCTTAAAAAATAAAGAGAAATTTGATAGTTTTTTAAAGGAAAAGGAGTAGGCTTTGAGGGGAAGCCTGGGTCAAAATAGTAAATCACAAATAGTAAATCCTTTTAAAGTATCTAAGATTGACAGCTAGTATGGATTCTGTTCATCTCAATATTTAATTAGAAATAGCATGTCTTGGTTTCCTGTTCTTTAATTAAAGTGGTTGTAAAAAAGAAGGTCCGAATGAACTGAGATTGCTTCCTAAGAATTCTGTATCACTCTGTCTCCCTGGTCTGGTGTTCTAAGATGGGGCTTACCTCGCTAAGGATGTTTGAGGCTTTGCAACTCTACTTTGCAAGTCTGTCCTGTCATTTCTGCTGCCAGGACTATACTAAGGGTGACACCACAAGGTTTAGAAGCACTGTGAAGGTTGGAAAGAGTTTGGCACGTGCCTCCTTTTGCTCCCAGTTCTGGTCCAGGCATCAGAGAAGTGTCACAGAGTGAAGACAGACATTTATTAGATGAAACAGATTTCACTTTTACACCTGTGCAAGGATTTTAACAGGAAAGGAGAGGAAAGGGAGAATGATAAATTTCTAGATAATATATGAGAATTACCTCGACAGTGTCTTTTAAAAACCTTTCAGCAACACGGCAGTGCCACACCAGAAGTAACTAGTTTAAGAGAATGTATTCTGTGCTGTCCAGGTGATCCTATCTGTTAGGGAAAGGAAAACAGTTTCTTGAGGATATTTGTACAGCTATTTTTCCATTCTTACCCTTTTGAATGAAAAAGTGAGGCCTGATCTATTTTATTTTAGAACACTTTAACAGCTCTATGCTTTGCATGGGTTAAAAACATACATTTTTAAAAAATGTTTGCTATACGTTTATATAACTTTGACAAGAACAGAATTCTTAGTTATTTCAAAATCGGAAGGGCTTGTAGACTTCCCATTCTACAAATGAAGAAACTGACAAGTGGGACTTACTCTATTACATAATGGCAGCAGGAGGGAGCCGCAGGTTCTGGAGTCCCTGTCTGGTGCTCTTTCTGCCAGACGATGGCATTTCTAATTGCCTACCTGAGGCCTTTTGAAATCCCCATGTCTAATAAAAAAAGGCAATTGCTTTGGTAAATTTATTTTTACTGTTCTTGCTTTGAGTGAATGTTCCAGTTTGCTCTAGATTTTACTTCCAGATTGTTAAAAATCACTGTTTCAAACCCTTGAATGTGCCTACGTGTTTTTGAAGTGACTTTTTTCCTAGCAATCTTATTGCTATAATAAAGCTCCTCTGAGACTGTGACATGGAAGGAAAATATTTTGTAAATTTAAATAATGACGTCTTGTGCTAACCTGTATAATTCTACCTTAAAGATTAGCTGGCTCAGCTGGAGAGAACCCTAAACAAATGAGACCAAGTTCATGGCCGTGAAGTCCATCTGTTACCAGGTGAGCTGGCTGTTTTGCATCCATTCTCTGCTGTCCTAGCTCACGCCCGCTGCAGGTGCACGCTGCCCTCCTCCAGGGCCTGGCCGGCCAGGGATGTTAAGCCAAGGCAAATCCATCATCGCCCTGGAAAGCCAGCGGCACTGGCCAGCCAAATCCTGCCCGCCCTGCTGCTGACTGGCCAGCACTGTCTTCTCAGATGCAGGGCTGCGTGTAACAGTCCCAATTCCCTCACACCATAGTATTTATGCCAGAGATTGCCAAAGTTTTAGCATGATGTGATCTTTCAGAAAAATCTAGCATGGGACCCTTTTAATGTATCACAAGAGAAATTAATTAGGATCACCTTATCATTTAAAATAAAAATGTGATTTAAGATCAAGGGTTGTTATTACTATATCACAAACTTACACGTGAATATTTATAAAAAACAGAAATGCAGTTTATGTTTAGCTGACATTTTATGATACTAGGATTTGTCATCGAGTTTCACTAAATTAATTTAAGGAAACATTTCTTCTCAAGTAAGTAAAAGCTTAAAATATGACCACCTATAATAACTTCTGGTGAAAAGTCAATATTTAATAATATGTTTGAAAGAACCAGAAGATGTTATCAAGATAAAGCTTCAAAAAACCTGGAAGTGTACGGCCTTCCCTACCTGCCTTTTCCCTTACCGTCCTATTTTTACTGCTATTTGATTTCCTCCAAAGAGAGCTGTGCCACAC